TGGTTGCAGCCGCCGTTCTTCTCGATTGTCGAGTTGCACTTGGGGCACTCCTTGGTATTGGCCGATATCCAATTTGCAGTCTCCGAATCGTCTGCGCACTTCTTCAGCCATCGCTTGACAAGCTCACAGGGAGCAGGCTGATGGTCAGTTAAAATGCAACCAAAGCAGAAGCGGTGACCGCAACCGCATGCTACTGTGGGAACGATTCTGTCCAAGTCCTTCTTCTTAATGGCGCATTCCACGGCATTTGGGCAGTCGGGTGCAGGGCACCACTTCAGGATCTCCTTGTCCTCCACGTACGTCCGATTTAACAGCTCGTGGTATCGGGAGTTGAGATCGGCTGCAACGAGCAGATCCAAGGACTTTGAATCGATGATGCGGCCGCAGCCCTCGGCCGGACACTGGATACGAGCCGCCTCGCCTTCTTCGCGAATCTTTTGAGTCAAGTATTGGCGGTAGCAGTCTACGCAGTATCGGTGGCCGCACTTAAGAGAGAAGGTCTGGAGGCCCTCCTCGTCTTCGCAGCAAATGTCGCACATGAAACCCGGAATAGCTTCAAGCTTGGGCGGGCCAGCCACGTTCGAGCCAAGACCCGCAGCCTCCAAGACCTTGTTGGGAGCGTCCATATAGTCCTCGATCAAACGTTCTTTGTTCCACCTAAAGTGCCGCAACAATATGGCGACATCCTCCTTGCGGATGTTCAGGATCATATTGACCTCGTCAATCATGTCATCCTGTTGACGTTGAATATCCTTTGGTTCGTAGACTTTGAATGAGATGTCGTAGGCCACCTTCTTTTTGTTGTCGGAGTCTTTGATCATGCCCAGGTCCTCGGGCTCGTCTTCGAAGTCATCTTCATCGAAATCTGTGGAGGAATCAAAGACGTCAGTCTGTGGTTTTGAGGCCGGAGAGACTCGGTTGAGCGGTGTATACATACCATCAGGACCAGACATGTCCTCGCCGCTGTCATCCTGCATGATCTCGTCGTCGCTCGAGGGAGCCGACATGAAGTCCTCCTCTGAATCCATGCCGTTGCTCGCGGTGGTGACGGGGGTTGGGGGAGCGTCCTGTCCAGCAGCCGAGGCGATCCTCTTCTTTGTCGCGGTGTCTTGGTTATTGGAGGATATCGTCGCCTCAGCGGCCTTTCTCTTCCGCGTAGTGGGAGGAATGGTGCCGACTGCAGATGGAGGCGAGGGAAGCGTTTCCGAGGGGGCGGAAACGGGTTGAAATGTATAGGCGGGTGAGACACAGATGACGGAGATGGAGAACGAGGATCAGATCCAAACGAGGGGAGAAGGAGTGCCTGCGTTGGGCGCCGGTCGCGGTATGGGAGTCACTTGATGGGTGGAGGGGTAGATTGGTAAGTTGCAGGCTGCGATAGCCCAAGGCTGAGGCAACAACCAGGTACAAAGGCTGGGAAGAGCCGGGCAGGTTATACAAAGGTGCTCGCAGTATGTGGTCGTGCCGAGAAAGGGCGGGTTCGAGGTCGGGCGAAATCAGTCAGAGCGGTAGGCGGCAATAAGGACCTGGCTCGGTTGCCTGCGGTGTAGGAACGCCGCAAAGATGAGTGCGAGGGCGGTAGTCTAAGGTATGGGTGATGGGTGTGGTGGGCGTGGATATGTGGATGTGAAAGTGGGATTGGAATGCGTTGCGGGAAAGGTGAACGACCTGAGTGAGCAACTGAGCGTGTGGGATGTGGGTGGGATGAATGGGTGGATAAGGTAAGGTATGTAGCGGGAGGGAGTCGGATGGTTTGGTTTGGCAGTCATAGACAGTCAGGACCAGGCAGTGACTTCCTTCCCGCCCAGCGAGTGACTTGTTGGATCCAATGACGGAACTCAGACGTCGGGGGTGTTGGTTGGAAGAATGCACTGGAGGGAAGAAGCCGAGTGACTTCATGAATAGCGGGCAACATCAGCAAATATCAAGTACCTCGATGGGGCAGGGGACAAATTCCCCGCTGAGCTGGCGCGGGCTTGCACCGTGAACTACCGGTACTTACTGTGTAGGGGCAGGGCCAAGGGGGACGGGAGGACGCTTTCAAAGTCACTCTCACCACACACTCTGGTAGCTCAGCCCTTGCAACTCCTAGTATTAATGTCACTGCACAGGCTGACTGACTCTAGGGAATCGTTTAACATGAACACCATCGACACTACGTTCCAATACCCATCTCCTATGTCCTTGGGATTATGATGGCGGGATCCAGTCCCAAAATGAGTAATGTGAGTGAGTACCTTCCCTAGGTACCCCAAGTACCTCCATGAAGGTCAGGAGTGAGGGGGAGCATGGTCACAAGGGTAGAGATGCTTCTATTTTGCGCTTCCAGCGCTATCTTTACATCCACGGATACAAGCCTAGGGAAATTGATCAGGCACTGATGAAAGAGGCGGGCTTCAGGCACACGACTCGATAAAGTACCTCAGTCTCTCCAATCCCGCCGGGGAGGAGACCAGTTCTCAAACTCCCTGGGGGCCAGATGCAGCCCCGTGCCAGTGTCATTGCAATAGTCGTTGGCCAGTGATTGTGTCTGACGGCGTGCAGGTGACTCCATGGACCTTTGGCACTCACAATTTGGTCCTTGCCTCTGGGACAGTCCGGGGTTGGGCGATGAGGGACTCAGGAGTAGGCCAGGTATACGGATACCTAGAAGCGAAAGGGTGGTCTTTGGCTTTGGGCTTGATGCATGGCATGACGGTGGACGACTCACACAGCTGCCCTGAGCGCCACCACCACCCTCGAGAGTGTCACCTAGAGTCAAGACTCAGTGTTTGTCGCTCGATAAGCAGTGCGGAACCTGACGGAACTGCCCCTCGCCTTCTCTTAGTCATTCATCCTTATCGATAACGACGACGTTATTTGCCCCTGCATTTGTCAGGCGGGAGCGGCCCGGCACCAAGTGGCTCCGATGTCGCCGGTCATCGGGTACATGTCGGGTGTCCACAAGTGCCCCCGGCTCGGCCAACTTTGGCCCCGAGGTTTCCTTGAGCTTCGGTGTTGCAAGCCTGACAAATGCGATAGTCTCATCATTGTCAATTACCTCAGGTACTCATATCGTGTCCGACATGATAGCTTTCTAAGCAGACGAAAGAAGCATTCGATTTCTTTGTGGACCCCCTAGGCCGATACGTGAAACACCATTTCTTCTCAGTGCTGTCAGTCAGGGGTTCGGATTCGGAGACGCGTCTTTTGGGTTTGTCTTTGAATTCAAGCTGGTATTCGCGATGCGTATTGCATCTTCTTTCAAACTGCATCTACCTAGTCCAAGTGGCCTTCGAGGTTCTTTTTCTTGTAAATCTTTGCAACATCGCGACTCCGAGTCCATGTCTTCTCAACCCAAGACCTTGTCGGCCAGGGAAACTGTTCACACTGTCAGCTAGTTCTCATAAGGCGTGTTACGGGTCCTCGAAATCTTACCTGCGGTACCAATGTTATCGGGCTCAACGTGGGCCTCCTTGACCTTTCCGTTCTCGATCACGAGGGTATAGCGCTTGCTGCGGTCGTTGCCGAAGATGGCCTTGCTGTCAAAGTCGACGTCGAACGCTCTGGTGAACTCGCCAGACGGGTCTCCCAGGAATCGAATCTTTCATAATGTTAGCATGCCAACGCTACCTCGGCGCAAGGCAAGGGGGGAGAGGTTATGTCAACATACTCCAGTCTGGGCGGCGGGGTCCAATTGGTCACCCCAGGCCTTCATGCTACTCGGTCATCAGTATCAATCGCTTTCTTTCCACAAATCCTTGCTCTGAAGCCTCAATGAGGCTACAAATCCCTCAAAGGCGTCAAGGTCTCGGAGAGGAAAACCTACACAAAGGGGTCGTTGACGGAGACGACAAAGACGGGTCCGGCCTCCTTGAGCTTCGGGTGGTTGATGTACGAAGGGATGTGGCTCGCGGAGCACGCGGGGGAGAAGGCGGCGGGCACGCCAATGATGAGTCCATTGGTGACCTTGCCAAACTCCTCGGCGAGGTTGACCTTATTACCGGGCGAGTTCTCGACGAGGTCGACCTCGGGCACGGCGTCGCCAACCTTGACGAAGGCGGCGGGCGTCGAGTGGAAGGCACGCGCCGGCACGGCGGAGCGGGTGAGGGCGAGTCTTCTTGCGGCGAAGCGGAAAGCCATTGTTGTGTCTGTGAGTAGCTAGGTACGCGTTTTGAGGATGAAGCTGATGCGGTGTGAGTGTGGAAAGTTTGGTAGATGCTTAAGCTCAATGACGAGGGCGCGAGGCTGGATAATATGTGTTTGTGTTGGGAGCTTTCCGTTTTCCTGGGGACAAGAGCTTGGGGGGAGCTTTGGTCTTTTCCCCGGACGCTGCCCTGGAGCTGAAAGCTTGAGAGGGGCCGCGCCCACTGCCACTGCCCGCGCCAATTGAGACATTTGCTTGGCTGAGCTCGCAAATTGCCATGACATCAGACCAACGTCCAATGGCAAACGTCCCCCCTGCGTCCGGCCCTCTTCCCCCTGTGAGACAATCATTTTGTACCTACTTACCTAAGGTACTGTATCCATAGCCAAATTTAGTGAAGTTCTGTGTAGGGAACACTACTAGGTGTGTAATAATACCAAGATGTTAAGAGGCTAAAATCCTTCTGGCGCGGTCGTGCTGGTCCACCGTATTTGTTCACAAGCCCCGGGGCGCTGCAACGCAAACTTGACTTGTCATGCACGCCACCAATAACGTCTGCATCTCGTCAACATCTACTTTCTTTTTCCGTGATACTTGCTTTTATGGCGCTGTCTCTCAAGGTCCTCGGGTCCTTTTCCCAATCGGCTGGCTTTAGGACTCGGGGGCTTGATAACCACACAATCAGCAAGCACCCTACGCAATTGGAACGTCAATTGACCGTTGAGATCAAAGCCTAATGGGGGGGGGTATCATTCATCATTACGGGCGTTCTACTCGCGGCGTTGCCGCCCAGCTAATATTTCTACCTCTCATAACTACCTTATCCGTTTATCATCGTCCGTTACCGTCTCCGTTCCTCCCAATGCCCTCTATCTCATGCATCGGGAGCCCTCAATTCCTGCCTCAGACTTCCGTCGGCGTCCGGAGGACCTACGTTATACCGTTTTGACTCAAGACTGTTCCCATTGTCAGTAACGCGCAAGTTTTAGAGAGGGTGATCCGAGGTCGCAAACCTCCAAGTCAAGTTGCCAGTGCAAATCGTCTTGAGCGTCGCAGTCACCTCCTGAATCGCGTCCGCATCCGCCAGGTTCTGGTTGATCAATCTTCGCTCGCAGACGTCGAGCTGCTTAACGGCCTTGTCAATCTCTTCTACGACTTCTCCGACAGCACTCTCCAAGTCACTGCCGTCTTTGCCATTCCAGTACCGCACCGGCACCGCGTTGAGAGTCCGGCCTTTCCGCTGCTCGAATGATTAGTTCCTCCCGCTCACACAGCACCACCACCACGAATCTACTTACCAACTCTTTGTTCAGCGAGAGCAAGTCATTCGTCCTGTTTCCAGAAAAGCACCCCGTCAGCTTCTGGACATCTCCATTTCGGGGTATATCAGAGGGGGGGAACTGACAGGCCAATGATAATGCTGACCGACTCCAGGATCATCTTATACGGCTGCGAGTTGACGACGTGCGCCGGCCACTCTGATCCAGAGGCGAACCTACTTTCGTCAGCAGAAATCCCACTTTCTCAGAGAGATACCCTCATGTCCTTTCTTACTCTACCAAGGCGCACAGAGGGCCAGCGCCCCCGGTCTTCTTGCGAAGCTTCTCATACGATAAAGTCGTCGGCGCGTGTCCGCTCTGGATGTACCGCATCTCTTGCACGGTCGAGTCAATGTACTCGAATAGACTAACCCTTAACCTTCTCCGCTGATCTGCCCACCACCCGAAGAAATCAGCCCTCAGATATCGCTGCTACACCCAGATACGAGAAAAACTGACCTCGGTCGTACTGCTGGCAAATGACTTTGGCAACCGGCTGGAACCCCGCAATGACGGGGTTCGTTGACGCCTCCTTGGGCCCCTCGGAAAGCTGGAGATACTGCGCAATGTAGTCCTTGGCCTTGTTGCGAAAGTCTTTGGCCTTTTCCGCGCTCTTGTACTCGAGGCTTTCGATATGGTCATCGAGTCTGCCCTGCCAGAGCACCATGAGCGTCAAGGTGCCAAGTCTTTCTCTTGTTGCGTTGGGCCAGAGGCTAACGTCACACACAGACAACTTATCAGCAAGTGCTGGGGTTTTCTTCTTCTTTTTTTCAACTCTTCTTGGGGATATCTTACCATGAAGCTAAGAGAGCCGGATTTGCTTCTAGGACATTGGCCTTGTCTTTCGGTGACGCATCGCTGTAATAAGTCAGCATAACGAAACCATTCAATCTTCATATCGGACAAACTCACCTCTGCTCCAGTAGTTTTCGAATCAACCCCTCAACCTCGGAGGCATGAGCATTCTTTCCAGACGGCCAGTGGCTGACCATCCGGCGCAGGTCCGGGATGACCATGACCAATCCATCGAGCCGACTGGCTAGCTGCGCGCTCTCGGTATGCGCAGCCATATTTGCAAAATGGTATAGTTACCTCGAGGAACTTTGAAGTTGCACGCAGGATTTAGAAGAAAAAAAAGGGGTCCGGCTTATCGAGATTTGATTTGCTTTGGGTTGGATTCCTTTTCCGTCCTTCTTTTCTAGAATGTATCCAACGAATGTCACCCTGTCTGGCACTTAGGCTAAAAAGGGAACACTTTCAAGATTTCTCCCCCTTCTTTTTTCTGCGTTGGCATGTGCGTCTTTCTCTCTGTTAATGATGCGGATAATGGGTACAGACAGGACTTTTTGCTTTGCTGGGTTCCTGGTGTGGAGCATTGCGAGATTAAGTCAATGCTACCCCAAGGGAACTAACTCCCCTATTATGGGAATGCTTTTCAAGGAGAGAAAGAGAGAGAGTGACCGATTCAGTGATTGTCGGACATCGTTTCCCTATCAGTGAATCATTAGATAGGCAACTTTGTCCTGCCATTCCCACCCCCTTGGTGAAGTTTGTCTGGCAAGCGTCTACGGATTGGGAGGTGGGGGAGAATTTGCGGGTTGGCCCGCGTGGGAAGCGGCCGGGGTGAGCGTGGCGTTGTAAGTGACAGTTGACGTGCTCGAAACAAGCTTAAGTCTCTTCACCGGGCTCGGTAATTTTCGGTGAGAACGGGGGGATAATGATATATATATATATACATATATATGTCAATTTGCGAGTGTTCATGTGCCCACCGGGATATTCTATCGAAATCGAGGGTGATGAGTATAGTCTAGGCATTAATCATATCTTGCGACATCCCCAATCGCTCATGTTTTGAAACAAATACTACCATCCATCGACGATACTGACATCCCCCGCCGAATGCAACGCTTCACTTCATGCGGCCTCGCAAGCCGATGCGTGGTCGCCGACATAAAACGACACTTTGATAGTCGCCGACGTTCAAGTTGACCACCTACGACTATCTGGACACACACCGTCCATTGCCGAAACACTAGCCTACAAACACAACCAAATTGCCTCCTCCAAGTGGCAATGCTGGTGATTCACAGCGAGCATGGCTGTCCATCAGCGTCTAATGTGGTAAGGTGTGTCATGCCACATTGGTTTGCCCATCCCATCTCATCCCATCCTATTTCATCACGAACCGGCCTGTCGGCTCTTTTCCGCCGCGTCTTCGACTTGACCCGCCACGTTTGATAATGCGAACCATTCGACTTGAACTTACCAATCGTAATCAGAAACATTAAAGTCATGCTGCCACACGCTGATTCATAGCATAGGTTATGGGATCGAAGCAGCCACACAGCATGGATGAGCTTGATTCCAATCCAAGCACCCGTGATGATGGCAACGATATAACGACTAGGCTGGGCGATAGGCATAGGTCCGATAGGTATCGGACCTCTCGCAGTAGCTGTGTAGTTAATCTAATAGAAGGTCTTCAAGACGGCTGATAGGCAAGGTGAACAAGCACTTGTCGGTCCGTCTATTTCTGACACTGATATTTCAATGTCAAATCGACAAAGGCATGAGCAAAGCGATGAAGGTCGCTGACGTGACCAGAAAAGGCTTATAGGGGGGCTCCCGCTACGAAACGATGATTTGCTTTGCTGATTCCATGCAGCCATCCTCTTCATGCCTCGTCTGCCTCCAGCGATTCTGACGACGTTGGAGATATTGTCGCCATGAGCGCTGCCAGCCGCTCGGACTTTTGGGTCCTCAAGTCGGTCGAGGGCACTTATACCATTATACCACCGCGGTGTCTGTCAAGACAGCCCGTCTTGTTTCTAATCACCTGCTTCCGAGCGCTTTGAATCTTCGCCATGGCAAATTACAATCTCAGAGCTCTCTTTCATACGCAGTTGCTTCAGAGCATGCCGCAGACGAGAACCATGAGCCACCTCAACGCTGAAGCTACGTCCGACCACGAAATCCTCCAAGACACAAAATGCAGCTCGTGACCACACCTCGTTGCAGTCTCTTTCTCTTCCAGCTCTCCTGTACCACCCTCATATCGAAAGACCATGTCAGTATCTTGGATGAAAGCTGGCGATGAGCGCGTATGCTGATTGGAGCACCTCGACCCCTGCATCTGCATGCAAAGCCTTCGGAGCTAAAGCTTCACTGCAATATTAGCCCATCCCGAGCTCTTAGACGATTGGGAACTTTGTCAACTCAATCTAATCTTTACATGCAACCTCTTGCCCCAGAAGTGGTTAGACCACTGTATAGCAATGCACTTGCACAGCAACTTTAACCCCCCCCGAAGCTCTCAAGACGTTTTTCCACTTCAGCAATTCAGCTCCTACACTCAAAGCCTGACCGAGGAGGTGAAGGTGGTGAAAGCTTCACTGCAATATTAGCCCATCTCGAGCTCTGAAGACCGTTCCGGCAAGTTTGCCGCCTCAACCTGCACGCAAAGCCCCGTCGTGGACAGCGGAGTCTTCACTGCATTCTCAACCCAACTCAACCACAAAGTTCCCACGACCAAGCTGCACAGCCTTCTTGCAAAGCAAGTCCCAGATCGAAGTCGTCTGTCGGCAACGCGAAAGGAAACATCTTCCTATCATTTGACCATGAGGCCAAGTTAAGGGCACCTTCTGTTCTCGGGCAGAGATCGTGTCTCATGAGGAATTGCTATGCTCTACCAATCTCGTATCGTATATAAGCTTCGGGATGTCACGTCGATGCATCAGATCGACTCTACCTGAAGTTTTTGAGACAAGGTGATCAAATCAACAGGAATGATTTACAGACACCCGGCCTTTATATCACAAGATGAGTGAAAGTTCAATATGGTGATAGACACATCTTACAGGTTTCGAATATGATTGCTAGGTTCCCCCTTATTTCTACTTTCGACTTGGCTGTGAATGTGGAGGATGCATAGGAAAACATCTCCGCGTACAGCCAGGCTTCTCACCTACGCGCTCAGTCCCAGTCCTAGTATGATAGGTATGCAAGAAGCACTGATGGTGGCTGTTTCGCGAGTGATCTGACGAACTGGCAAAGGGGTCCAAAAGTACTTGACCGCCTATCTTCCGGTGATGATCAAGACATGTTTCCCGTCTCATGTGAAAGATTCAGTTGCTCTGTCGTATAGTGCAGATGTTGCAACTGGTCAGAAACCTTGGTTTTTTTCAGGCACATGTTCTGATTATCTTCTCTTTAATCATCACACCGTGATACACCAAGAAGATCATTCGCCGGTTTGCAGTTGATCTGAGCTGTGGGAGCTTCAATGATGATGCAATCTTCAATCACAATGTTCAGAGCTATCTCTGCGAAGACAACGCCTGCTATGAAGAATTGAATCCTCCCTGGCTATCACTCATGTACCCATTCTTCAGCTTTGAGTTTACCAACGGCACATGTGTCAAAATAGTAACATAACTAACCCGAGGACATCTCACTGACCCTCCAAGCTCTCACTCTCAAGCCAGCATCCAAATGTACAGATTCTGACTTCAACTTGACGCCGTCCTGGTGAGAATTCGTCAAACCTCGCTCACTATTCTGACATCTTCCGTGAGGTCCACTTCACTTCCGACGTCATTTCATGCTCCATCGTGAATGTACTCGTGAGACCAGAAGCAGTCCGCCACCTGCACATCCCGAAATCCTGAGCCGCAATCTCATCGTTCGTCCATGCCTAATATCATGACACCTCTAAGCCAGTGACCAGCTCATCTTCAGCAACGCAGCTCTCATTTTCCAGAGCCCACTGTAACCCCTCATGTTTCCAAAGACGCCCTTGCCCTTGAGCTCAAGCTCATTCGACTCATTGAACACATGCAACCTCCCTGTCACAATCTTCGTCATTCACAATGTAAGAGAAGCCACCCACTCTTCCCCCATCTCCAGTCCCCTTCACAAGCAAACTCGTCCACCCAACTCAACAAAAGCTCACCAAATTTTCCGACCTCAGCCTCATCTCCTCTCACCAACCCAACCACCGCCGCCCCCAAGCACCACCACCCCCTCTCCACAAGGCTGTAACACGCCAACCAAACCCAATCGACCAAAGAAAACCATCGTCACCTTTCCATACCCCCTCCTCCCCCTCCCCTCCCCTTCCCCTATACCTAGACAGCACACCCTACCTGACTTTCCCTCCCAACCTAGAAAAAGCACAACCAGCAAGACAGACCCAAAGGGCCCGGCAAACCGTACCCGGCACCCCTCCTCACCCCACCCTACAACCAAGACCTCTCAAACACAAGACACACACACTTCGGTCATATATACCACCGCCCCTATACCAACGCCCTCGACACCACCAAAACTCGAAACACGAACCGGGGGAAAAAAAGAACCAAACAGCCCAGACGCAAAGGCGCAGCGCGACCACAGGACAACGTGGCAGACAGGCTCATGTCATCCCCCCTTCCCCCCCTCCTCCGCCTCAACCGTTACTGTACTCACCTACCAATCCATCCCATCTCGGATGACAAAAGTCATCGGATGAAGTATACCCGACTCGAAAACTCAAAGCCACAGCAGAGAGACACGAGACTTCTGCTTTCGCAACGAACGCGGTCTATCTGTGAAGAGGAACCCAGAAAGTCAATAGAAACCTTCGTTGTAGGAACAGAAACAGAGCAGAAAATCGAGACGAGACACAGGGGCGACGAACTGTCAAATCGTCGCTCAAACCAAAGTGAACCCCATCCTACACCCCCTTTTCCAAACCTTGATCGCGGAAGTCAATTCTTCCCCTCGTACGAGATCGTTACCTCATCATCGACAAATTTTCACAAGGGAAACATGTCACTCTACGTCATCACGGAGAGAGACCAAGTTTTGAGAGAATCATCTACCTTCATTCCATTTCTTTCTCGTCCATCTCCTCTACCGTATCATTTCAGACATGAAGTGCAAAGGGGGACAGGACATAAAACCAAGAGAGTCGCCGGACCAGCCGAATACAACTTGCGCCGTCGTTGCGCATCAGGACGTGTGGATCGAAAAGAGACAAATGAGGACCAAAAAAAGGACAAGCGAAGTTGCAAAAGGCAGCATGAAA